GATGGGATCGAACTAGGCCCTTGCTTCACTATGGACCACATCGCATACCACTCCGCTGTCTATTCACCGAGTTGAACATTTTTGGTGATAACTAGAATCTCAAATCATTCCAGGAAATTTACTTCATGATACACAATTCTGGGAAAACTCAGCAAGCAGCTGATCGAACACGAGCAGCGAGTAGATAGCTGTCGGAATGAGCCTCTCGTTCACTTTTGCACCTCTGGACCTCTTGCTACTTACTCTTCCCCCTCCGCTCTTCCAACCAGAGCCCACCACAAAATCAATAAATGCCAACCCTCGTATATTCAGTATTTGCATACAACACGACGTCTTTCGAAAATAGCCATTCTTGAAAAGTTCGTTTGAAGTCTTTCAAACTAGTCATCACGCTCTTAACGACGTCGTATCGCTTTAGTGACTAATCATTTAGACACATGATTTATACATAAGTAGTTATAAAAATATATTTTGTAAGGTACAACGTTTGAGATTATTCTGCACCTTTTGATAGGGTTCTAAAAGAATTTGGATTTTCTGTAATAAGTTCGAGTGCCGCTTTTACATGATTTGAAGGTTTTTTCGTGCCATCTGATTTTTTCGAGACGAATCGTCTTAGTTCAGCAATGCCTGTACAGAATCGAATACAGTATACCATATGAGTAGTTAGTTAGGACCGTTTGTCTACCTTATTTGATGTAATTCTTTTTCATTTATAATATTTCCTTCCTATAACTCATCTTTTTGAGGCACGTGCTATCTGACGCAAGTTCAACAGTGCTCGTGTTCTTCTTTTTTTTTGTTCTGCTGTTTAGTTTTTGTTTCGTTTCTTAAACTTAGTATTTTTCATAGGTTCACATTTCAGCAGAAGTGTTATGCATGTGAAAAGGCTTCATTAACAACTCGACATCTTTTTAAGTGTTACAAATTATGACTGCTGAGTACGATGTTCCTGATAAACCGGTCGAGTATTGGATAAGTAAGTGGAAAAAAAACCGTTTTGCTATAATATAAGCACTTGGTGCTAAAACGCACCCAGTAAACTGTTTAATGGTATTATTGCATTTAAGCGAATGTAAAGTTTATTAATAGTATGAAGGAAACATCTTAGATCGCTCAACTGATCCATTCGTAGACGAAGATACACGTAAGCGGTATGTGCAGAAGCTATGCGATCGCGTCAATTATGAGGTATAAAGCAGTTTTTCTCGTCTGTTTCTCATTAGATGAAATGATTTCCTTTTTCGTAGAAATATCTGCCTTGTAATAAAATGTTGACGTCAATACTTGGTGACTAATGGAAATTCCTTCGAATGTGAATAAAAGTCTGCTATTTCAATTATCGGAGGAACAGTAGTCTCATCCATTGATAATAATGTTCATCATAATGTTAACTTTTTATTTACTGCCTATTACAATTTTTCACAGCATGTGCTGAGATATTTGGAAAACTCCGGACCCCAGGTGTATGTGGTGGGGAACGAAAGCGCTATGACCCTTTACTTTTTCGTAGAAATCTCTCCCATCTAATAAAATGCTGAAGTCAGTACTTCATGGCATTGATCAAATAATTGTTTATGTTTTTTTTGAATAAATATGAGCCGTTATTTTATGCTTTATTCCGGTAAAACTGACGCTTCGGCAGATTTAACCTTCCTCAGAGCTTGGAATGTTCAAGTCTACCGCAATCTACTTAACCAAACACCTCCATAACTACACATAGAAAGTGCTAAACCAAGGTTTTAGTCACATTGAATACAGAATAGCTTGTTTCATATTCACCGCTTTCTATGAGTCTTTCATTGAATATATCACGTGGAGACCGACCGTGCAGAGTTCACATGGACGTGGCTCTCACTTTAAAATAACAGTCTTAAATGCTATCAGATATCACGCATGATTATGAGGCATTCCTTTCTGCGGTAAACTTAAAGTTAATCCAAATAATCCACTAGGCATGCATAGAGACTTAACGGGGATAATTTTGAAGTAGGAGCTAACATCCTCGCACAGCAATCGAAAACACCAGCGCGAAAAGCTACCGAAGCGCTCTGGGTACATTCTCAGAATCCGAAAATGAATCACAGGGAGGAATGTCATGCGTGTTATGTGTTGGTATTTAAAACTGTTATCTTAATGTGAGAGGCACATTACTCTTCCGTGTGAATTCTCTGCGGTTATTCTTCAGGTGACATATTCAGTTAAAATCTCATAGAAAGCGGTGAGTGTGAAGAGAAGGTACTCTTGACCACGCCATCATACAAGAACCACAAATCTTCAATGGGCCCAGCTAAGTTGATGCTGCCGTTGAAACTACGGTGTTCCAACTTCTGCTTCCCACCTGTCCCTGTTTCAGCAGTACATACAGACCAGTCGGACCGCCATTTATGTACACATATTGTACATATCGTCCGCTGTGTGTTTATCTGAAATTTTTTTTAAACACGTCCTAACATCACACAATGTGCGAGTTTCATTTATTACATATTATTTCATTGCACTAATTGGAAGTTTTCTTTGTTCTTTATGACAGTCGTTGAATGTTTTTTGAGTCGATTCTCCTCGGAATTCTGGGATAGCAGTGCTAGGGCATTTTAATATCTTATTCATAAGTCTCCTCAAGTCTGTTTGGAACACAGTTAGGGGGCTGATCTGAGATGAATATGTAACCAATTTCTGGACTCCGGAGAGATAGGGGGCTTGGTTGTTCCGGACTGGTTCGAACCAATACCTTGCGAGCATTGAGCAGCATCATTACCACTGGGCTACTTACATTTCGATTTAATCACTACCAAAGCTTGCAAAGTTTCGCTTGGTTCAGAGTGGGACAAAAAATAAGTTTTATCCTAGAGGGTGCACAATGATTTTAACAGAACAAATTTTCTCGAAAAAAAAACGCCTCGTTTTCTGGCGACAATTGTACTGAAAGAATTCTGAAACAGATGACTGTTTTTGTGTTATCAGATACTTATCACAAGAATTTGTTCTCAAGCAGATGGGATTTTCACCAATGTATTTAAACTGATGGCGGTCCAGTTAGTGGGAGAAATGTCTGGACAGGGTAGTCTATGGCTTACTTTTACCAGATTGAACAAAAGTTTTGTAGGCCTAGCTTGCGTGTGAACTCCATTTAAAACAACGTTCTTCCAATTTCGTCATGAAAGTGCTTGAGAACTTTTTTTTCTTTTGTAATTACACTATTATATGCTCTTCAAGGATTTGTAACACAGTGGTTAGAGGTACACAGCAATACACAGGTGGTTTTTGGTTCGGCCTCACCGTTTAGGGAAACCAGTTCCTGCAGCCATTCGGGGTTAGGAAATTGGCACGAGACTTGTTTTAAAGTTTGAGAGAATAAAAAGGAGTTATTTTGATATGTCAGTAGACTTTTCAAAGTGTTTTGTAAGAGAAATGTGCATTTGCTCATTTTTATGATGATACGAATCAGGTTGAACTCATAGGCAATCCGCAGGAAATTTATTAACACCAAATGCTCCATTTGACATTATTTCTGCGCAGTCTAAAAACTAATTTTCCAAATCTACAGTAACAATTTGGGATAAGAGTCCAATAGGCTAGTAAAAGTGAAACACTAGTAGAATGAATGATTTTAGTGAAGATGAAAGGAGATTTTGGCCAACTCTCGCGCTACTCTTTCATTTTCTGCTTATCACGAGGAATAGCATAAACGTCGTTCACTAGAATTCAAAGCAGCGCTAAAAACGCTGAAAATGGTTTTGATTCTGAGTTTGAGAAAAAAATAAAAAATAGGTGGTAACATGTGAATTCTTCATAAAGTCATGAAGATTTGCAATGTGGGTTGGAAGAACCACTCTCTGCAACCGTAACTGCTGTTTTCTTAGCAAAGAAACACAGATGGAAGAACAGAAGCATAAGGGCCCATAAACCATTGTTTCAGATAAAATAGGCCGTTTTTGATATTAATGGTTCATTTACCTTTCAGGCCGATGGTGCTATGGTTGCTATTACTATCCTAGGTCATAAAATAGTGAGCCCTGATCAAGAGGAAGCACTGTACTCCTTACAGGTATGTGTGTTGAAATTATACGCGTAGGATTACCGAAAGCACATGTATCAGCTTTGAATAATTACGGCCCATACGGCACGCTGGATAGAGGTCGACTGTGATGCGGTTATGGTCTTAAGTTTTGCCCCCCTGCATGAAGGGTATATTAGGTGACAGTGATGGAAAAGCTTTTATTTTCCCAACAAGGAATCCCACGACGTTTCGTCTAAGACTATCGCTGTTTAAAATTTTGATATCTAACTATTTCACTGATATCAGTCAAACTATTCCACCTAGTCTGTGTTGAAATGGATAAAATGATTCCAGCTAGACTTTTTTGAAATGGATAAAAGGGGAAAATGCTAACAGAAACTAAATTTTCGAGATGGCACCGTTACAATTTTACAAATTAGTGAGCATTTTCTTACTATTGTTACTACATGACACGACGTAAACAATTGCGGATGCCAGTGTCAGGGCATTCCCGCGTGAATTAGAGGAATGAGCTTATGCTAGACAAGTTTATTAACAATTTCATGACTTTGGGAGGATGAGAGTATCGGTGGGCCGGCGGAAGGCCTAACCAGTACCGGAATAGGTTGGTCCGCTGCCCGTTCCCAATAATATTACATAATATCTATTCTTGTTCAACGTAAAAGAAAAGTTACTTTAAAAACCAGAAGATATTTGTTACTAGAGACACGTATTCATTCCCATCACTTCGTTTTTTGCTATTCATCATTTAAAGCCTCCTGAGAAATCAACCTATAAGATTTATCTCGAAAAAATCCTTTTATTTTTAAAATTTCCTTTCTCGTCTGTGCATTTCACGTGAATGTCGATCGTCCACGATGAGATTTTATTTCTCCACCAGTTTTCGTCCATTTCCTATAGATGGTGCTGGGGCTTTCATTTTCTAATGCTATTCATTTTTTCCGTCTAGAATTTTCACCGTCTATGATGGACACGCCTTTTGTCAATAGCTGTGACCTGTAGAAAATGTGACATTGATTCCAAAAACTCTTTTTATCCCTTCTCAGTTCAGGCTGTTGATCAACTTGTTCGTAGATGTGGTTCAAAGGTGCACAATCGTGTCGGAAAATTTCGTTTTTTAAATCAACTTGTAAAATTAATTACGCCTAAGTATCTCGGAGCGCAAACATCAACCGAGGTAATCACAGTTACTTGTACAGTCCAATAGTTTTTATTCCTGTTACGTTTACAAGCACGTGCAATGACGTAAAAGTTATGAAAAACAGATGTTTTGATTGAGAACGCAGTTGTAAAGAACATCATATGAAAACAGGGCACTTATGTGTGAAATTGAAAGTGTTTTTTAGAAAATTCAAAGTAAATAATGAATAGCTCGGAAATCGTTGACTGTTTTAACCCTACTTAAAACCTAACGTTATTTAGGTTAAAGAGTTATCGATCAAATTGCTCTACTCTTGGCAGCGATCGATGCGTCATGTGGAAAAATTTAAAGAGGTCTCACTCATAATTTTTCACGTATTTTTCCACCCTTCGCAATCATTTTCACATTTCTGAAAGTTTTTACCTATTCAGCCATTCATTTTCTTTACTCTATGGAATCCAGTAAAGATGGATATTCTTATAAATATATCACTATCCTTGCAACGAATCCATCAAAAAAGGAAAATGCACTCGCATACGCTTACGTACCGCATACGCACCGCAAACGCCCTGCAAACGCACCGCTTACGGATTGCACACTCACCGTAAGACGCACTGGATAAATATACACACGTACAGAACTTGGGTGCTTTTATTTCTGAGCAGTCCCTTTAAAAATTTGACAGGGCTGCAAATAAAAGTGCTATAGGGAGATTTTTGAGAGCGATATTTGTTACTGAGAAGAATTTATCGCCGATCATCGTCAATTTTTAGGTCTAGACAACGTCTGAGAACTTTCTAGGATTGGGTTATCCGTTGTCCTATTTTATCATCCAGATCTATTTAATGCCGGTAATGGGCAAACACAAACACTGATAGGAAATCCGCCACTTTCACACTTTTTTATTTATAACTGCACGCAATCTATTTTTTTTGTTAACTTTAGGCTTCCATTGTTATTACTGTTATTGGATTTCACTTCTCTTTTTTGTTCCTAATAATTCATTATTCAAAAAAAAAACCGAAAAATTGGAAGAAGCTATGAACAATTTCCCAATAATTTAAAAACTCGTGCAATTTTAAATTTACTTCTTGCCTTATCATGTTAAATTCTTCGTTTTTTCTCTTTCTCTTTCCCTTTTCCACTCCAATTTCGTCTGTTTGCTTTCTGTTCTTCATTCCCTCTCACTCTCCTGCTCTTCCTTTTCTAATTCTTTATCTACCTCGCTCTCGCTCTCTCTTCTTTTTTATTTCACTTTCCTTTTCTCGCTTTCTCTCTTTTCTATTTCTGTTCTTTCTTCTCTCCCATTTCCTCTTCGACTTTCAAGGTTGTAAAACAGTTTTCTCTCTTGATCTGTTTCCAAGATGGCTCTAAGTGTGGTATGAAGAAATTTTTCGCGATAAAGAACGAGAAAAGGTCAAACTGAATCTAATCGATTTAGGTTTACGACTCCTTGAAAGAGCATAAATTGATATCGATCGATCCTGTTATACCGGAGGATGAAATCATGGCAATTCAAAGTAAGACGATTAACAAAAACATCAATCACTTCTCCGCCTTCTTCAGGTTTTCTTGTTCTTTATTGTCTTCACCGTTTCCAATTTTCGCTTCACAATCCGTTGCATTTCTCCATAAACCCTACTGTTAAATCTTTCATATAACTATTACCAGCTTTGTGGAGAAAGAATATTGCTATAGCAGCTTGTAATGTTGCGAAGTTTGGCTTTGTATTGCTTAGAACTCGTTTTAAAAAATTCGTTACAATTGAATCGATTATTCTCTTTAAAGTTCGTTTATCCGATTTAGTATTACTATCAAGATGTTAACCTTTTTGTTTTCTGCCTACTATAATTTTTCACGGCGGGCTATGATACGAGTTGCATCCACAACGATGCTGAGATAAAACATAGACCCAGGGTCGTATCGAACCACGATTTCCTTTTCCGGTGGTTCGCACGTTTCACACAGCCTTCACGGAGGCTCTTGCTCTACGTTTCTCTCAGCTAGTTTTCTACCTAACGCTGCAAGTTTTGTGAAAACCTCAGCATTGTTGTGGTTGTAATTATTGTCAAGGTTCAATGGATACTGTATTTGTGTTTAAACGCATAACCGACGAGATGCATTCTATGCAATGCATATTTGTGAGTGGATAGAGTGGAGGAAATGAATGCATTACACGCAATGCATTTTCGTCTAGGTGGTTTGTTTTGCTACACAAAGCTTTCTACCACGCTTTTTTCCTTCACTGAATAAGTTATTCACCAGAAATATTGAGTTTGGCGTCTACTGTGGAACTATGGTCTCTTCGTCTGATAATTTAGAGAAAATCCTTTCCTGAACGAGCTCATTTTGCAGCAAGAGACCATTGTTGCTGAAGGCAGCGTACACAATAGAGAGTGTGGCAGGTGAAAAGGCGCGTAAATATCTTTGCTTAAACCTTTAGATTCGACATTTACAACAGTTTTTCGATGTTATAAAACGGCACTTTGCTGGGAAAACTTCTTAAGAATGGGTCGACACTATCTGTTCATCAGTGTGCTTCAACATAGTTTGCCTCTAGAAAAAAGCATCAAGCATTATTACGAAAATCGTGATAGTTTAGCACGCTTAAAACGCCGCAGTCAAATTTTACCGTATACAATTTATAAATATGCGCAGTTCACGTAACTTACACCGCTTTACATACTAGATCTCTAGTAACTGGGAACTGGCTACCAGAAAATTGGAATCGTTCGCTCGTTTGTAGTGCATAGAAAGCTCAATTTTCGGTCAAAAATTCACTGTTCTCCATTGTATAGTGGTTATTACACAGAATGAGTATATATAAGAAATTCCAAAATCCACTCAAGATAAGTTGCAAATTATTGTAAATGTTGACAGCAAACTAGTTGGATGATGAATTATGGTAAAATATAGCACAGAGTAGATATTACCTCTTCTATAACGCTGCTAAGTTCTTAAACTCCCATGTACTTCGTTTATTCAAAAAATTGTCGTCTATTATTAAGAAGCCAGTATTGTTCACTATGTGCTGCCTATTAATCGCTCCCAAGTTGTCTAAGTTGGTAACCGACACTACCTTAAGCATCATCTTACGCACCAACCAGGTAAAATTGTGCATTTAACGTCATGTTTTAGTTAAAGTAGTAATGCCTTCCAGTGTCATTGTAATCGTCGAAATCGATTGATTTTAACGAAAAAAGAGAGGTTTTAATATATCATGGTAACAGAAGAAGAAATCAGTTCAATAAAACATTGTTAGTGGAGTGAGGATCTATTAAAACCGTTGGTAAAACTAGTCAACATTTGTTATGTGCTCTGAAGTATACCGTTATTAAAGATTTCACCATACATCTATGATTACACGTAACGAACATTGCTTAGTACAATTGTAATTTGTCGCCTTCAGTTGCACCACCAAAATTAGCCGCTTTCGAAGATGAGGAGAAAGCTCGACTACTGAAGGAGTTATTGAATAGCAGAAATCCCGACGACCTCCAGGCAGCAAATCGTCTCATTCAAACACTAGTAAAAGCTGTATGTACGTTAGAAAGTTTAACAGGGTTAAGTTAACAATTGTTAGACAAGTTTCCTAAGATTTATGCTGTCTTACCAAGCTGTTCATAGGTAGCACCTATTGCTCACGATTACGATTAATTTATTGAGAATATTTTTGAAAGTTGTTAGTTGAAGAAACTTGCTAAAACGCTGTCTTTATGATTATTTCCAGAGGTGGTATTTTGTGTGTGAGCGCATGTATCGGAGTGTGTACGCGTATTGTAGTGTGGGTGTGTTGGTATCCGTCTATGTGGGTGTATGAGTCTGTATTTGTGTATGCGTGTGTGTGTGTGTGTATGTGTGTGTGTGTGTGTGTGTGTGTGTGTGTGTGTGTGTGTGTGCGTGTTTGCATGTGTGTGTGTGTATCGGTGTGATTGTGCGTCTGTGTGTGCATGCTTCAAATACAATAGTTCATTTGAGCTTTAGGAAGATCAGAAATTGGAAGGACTGCATAAACGAGCAGACGAACTGAAACGTGCTCACCAGTTGTGTAAACAGTTTGAGGAAGCCATTATAGAGAAGACAGCCGAAAATCTCGGCATCACTGCGGATATCGTCTACACTGAGTTGAAAATGAAGGTAATAGGTCGGTAAATTTCTTAAAAGCATCCTCAACTGGCTCGAAACCGTTGCCATATGGCGTGTTAAGTAGGTAAAAGTTATTTCAACAAGCAAATTTGATCACTTTCTAACTATATTCCTTCTCACATTGATTTTTTTCATTCTTTTGTTTCATTGTTTTTTTTTCACAACAATCATTTAGTTCCACCTTCATTGTGAGAACGTTACCTTTCATGTCCGGAAAGGAAGAACTGGAATTACTTGTTCATTTTTAACTGATATTCTTCAAAACATTATTAAATTACTAGAAAATAAATTTAAAGTTCAGTATCGAATTTGCAGTGTCTCGCCAGGTTCTTCGTAATTCATGAGATAAAGCTTGGCAACGTGACGAAACGCTTTGTTCTTATGTTCTTCAAATGCGATTTGATCGTTTTTCACATTTGTTCTCTATGAGGACGTTGATAGCAGATGCATTTTATGTGATAGGAATGTCTCCTAATAAACGTTTTGTAATCGTTTTCGGAAGTTTGGGCGTATGAATGTGCCCTGTGCCGAATCCCGGGCAATCACTCATTTTCTCATTCGTCGACATTCTCACATATGTAATCTCACGATCATAACGAGATTCCCCATCCTCTGTTTTGATGTTAATCCGTTTTTATTCTTTCTCCGTTACTTTTTCACCGCACTCCCAGCATTCTTTCTCTAAAGTACATCACTCTATGCTTTAAAACATAAATTGGTTTGAGGTGAACGTCATTTTGGATTTCGTTGTTGCACTTTTTTCTTCATAAGAATACTACATATACTTCATGCTCCGAAAAAATGAAGGCGAAAGATCTCATGTAATACCTACAATGATGTTCAGAAATTTGCAAAACTCCGGGCTGAAGGTTTTTGCGGTGGGGAACGAACACGCTATTACTCCTTAATTTCATCAAATGTTTTTTTAATAGCAAGTCTCTAAGTCATCTATGGCTTTGAGAGAAATGTGAAACGAATATGTTACCAATGAGCTTTATAGCTTATGCTTTTGTACCGATGTATGGTTTTCCTTAGGCAGTCCCCAGGTGATTGCATTGTCCTTCCTCCACCTCTAAAAGAAAATAAAAACCAACTCAGAAAGCAATCATGACATGTTTTTCTTAATTAGTCTTCAAACAACTGTTTTTTTCTTTCAATTCGAGGCGAAATTAAAGCTGCCTATTCATCTAATCCTAATACAATTTTAGCGCGAATTTTCCATCTGTTCATGCTCAAATAACTGTTTGTAGAAAGAGTTCGGAAGACAAACTTCATCGCGCTAGTGTGTTCTAATTGTAAGTGGTAGTGAGTGTGAATCTGAAGTGATGGACTTGAGACAATGATCGTGGATCTGGGTAGTACAGTGGGATTACGAATCCAGTTGTATATTGAGCACCTTACATTTACTATACCACTAGCGATACCATATGACAGCTAAACTATATGATTAGGGTTTTCGTCTCATGTATTTCATTACAAAACTCACTGTTTTATATTTTTTAAATTAGATCAAACAATAGCACTACTAATGATAGCAGCTGCAATTCAGATAAAACAATAGTATTATCTTAACCTTTTTATTTATTGCCTGTTTTTTTTAACGGCAGGGTATGTTGCAAAATATAACTTCTATAATGCTGAGATATTTGCAAAAACTCCAGACCGCATGTGCCTTCTCTGAACCTTTCGGAAAAGTTCGATAGAAATAGCTGAGAGACAGGCGAAACGAAGGACCCGCATGGTGTGGTGGTGAACGCGTTACTCCCTGGAAAGGACAATAGCACGTTCCTTCCTCACCATAGACACCTGCGGTCTGGAGTTTTGCAAATGTCTCAGCATTATAGAAGTTATATTTCGCAACATACCTTGCCGTTAAAAAGAATAGGCAGTAAATAAAAAGGTTAAGATTGCGATTATGACTATAGCCTCAGCTTAACTGGGTTCAATGCCGATTTGGGTTTCCCAGATTAATCCCCTTGACGGGTGATTGCTGATGGCAAAAGAACGATAGAACTAGCTGAGAGACGGGCGAAACGATGGACCCGCACAATAGCATTACTCATGAGAGAAGCTGAAATTCCGGAAATGTCAAAAAACCCAAATTATTCAGATACCGTATACGAGCATCAGTGTCCCGTGTATGGAGACCTATTCAAAAGAACAAAATGGTTCAGCAATAATCAAGCATTTAAGAATGGGTCATCCATTCCCCTCCGTTTGCAGCATTCTAGGTGGGCCTGTAAGCATATTTGGCCTCTGATTTTCTGGTGCTTACTGATATGAAATGAAAATGGAGCAATGAAATAAAGGATAAAGTAAAAAGCTCCTGGCGTTGACCAATCCTTGAGGGATGTGCCATGCATTGGTCTTCATTAAGCATCCTTTGGAGGTGATTGAATGCATATCTGACCTTTACAATGACTCGCGGTGGCCTACCGATATATCCAGCCAGTGCTTCTATCCTCCAAGTCGCAGCAATTTTCCGACCCTGGAGGGATAGAAGGCTTGGTCGGCCATGGGCGCGGGGACCAATTCCACGTGTGTGTCGCAGTGGCGCCTCTAACCACTGCCCTACAAGCGCCCTTATTTATATGCTTATATGTAATCAGTTTAGCATCATTTTACCGTAATGCCGGGAATTTCCAAGTTTTGCGCTATACAACCGAGTGCTATCTCCTTATCCAACACAAATTTCGTTTTTTGCTTACACCATTTGTTCTTAGCGTTATCTGTCGTTTATGATCGGGATACGCTAGTATGCTGTGTACTTGTGTAGTACAGTTCATCATACAACCGCACCATTGTGAAATATCTGTAACATCCGTCAGTGAGTGGTCTGATTTCTATTTGCTAAACTCTGGTGGAAACACGATTTCCAGTTTAATTAGTGATAATATGATGTTGATATGCTTTTATTATCTCAGTGTTTAGTGATGAAAATCTAACCCCTTTCTTAACGAAATTTTTTTGTTTTTAATGAAAAAAAATGAGTGCGCGGTTTATAGATAGAATAGCTTTTAAAAGCTGAGGAAGCACAAGGGAGCGGGTAACACAGTGGTAGTGATGTCCGTTATCACGAGCATGGTGCTAGTTCCATTCCATTCCGGACCAAGCCTCTCATCCCTTCGAGGTCGGGAAATTGGTACCAGACTTATCTGGGAAAAAAAATCACTGTCTGCAATCCAATTGGGATCGCTGCAGCCCGGCTATCTCAGGACTCCATGGAGAATTGCTCGACCAGCATTCTACGACATTCAAGATGAAATGAAAATCCTCGACCAACAACTAAGGGCACACGAAAAGTTGGAAGATCTTCATGGACAGTGGATTCAAGGAAACGAATTGAATGTGAGAAGTGCTGGGATCCGCACAACAGACGTGAAGAGAGGCCATAAAAGAACAGAAAGAAAGAAGCTTTTAGAAGTTATAGAGTTTTAGCGAGTAAAATTTCACTAGAGTTCACACTTAACCTCCCATGTATAGCCAATTTTTAATCGTAATATGATCACAAGCTGTTTGTCACTTTGAGACCTTTCGGAAGAAAAAAGAGGAAGGCGACAATCGAATGGACTCTTTTTTTTCCCTAAAATTGGCCTTAGTTCTGGTGTTAAGCCTCCAAATTCGTCCACAGTATAGTTCACATTTTTCACTTTTTGTCAGGCTTCTTCGGCATTCATTTCAGAAAAGAAAAATGTCGGCAATATTGAATAAGAAAGGCAGAATAATAGACTGAATAGAAGGCTTGAGGTTTTTATCTTTATATAAATTCCAAACATCAACTGAAACATCGAAGAATTTCTGTGTTCACCATAAAATTTTCCAGACACTAGCATCATGAATATGATGTTTTCTTAAATATGAGCCTCGGTTAAAGCTTCTTTTATCAGCGTATTTGGTAGCTTGTTATTTCCTAAATATTTCGACTTTGTCCTTTTTATACAACAGCTCGCTGATATTCGTTTCAAGTTTTTTCTTTCTAGACGCTGGCCGAAGAGTTGATGTCCATTCGACCCCAATTGTTCCGGTTCGCTAGCGAGGCAACAGAAAGTGATGAAGAAGAGCTGGCAGAGATACTCGTCGTCAATGATCAGGTCAGTAATTGTTCAACTTTGATAAGCATTCCTTTAGTATTATTTCATAATAATCTTAGAGGGTATCTTTCGACTGACCTCGGGATCAATTAATTTATGCTACCTGTCGAAATCCTTTTTTTCGAGCTTTCACGAGGTGGTTAACGTGTATATTGATGTCCGGTGGTTAGGCTTCCAACTACATCACTTTCTTTTCATTGATAAGCTAACACGAGGTTGTTGCCACACATTTATTCGGCTAACATTTCGGCCTCTTTGTCTTCCTCAGAGACGATGATCCGAGTGGACAATCCGCAGTCGTTCGTCTTGATATGGTGTCTTTGTCGTAATATCGAGTCGTATCTTCTCCTTTGGAGAGCACCACTCAAATGAGGCGTCCTCACACAGCTTTTTATGTAGGACAGGTGCTGTTTATAATGACTATCCATTGATAACCGTCTGTTTTGCAACTGACAATCAATCCTACGTCAGCCCGCATTACATAACCTTATAAATGGCGGGTAATATCATCGTAACTCAACTTTCATTCAACCTCAATGTGGTCAAAGACGTTAGAACATTAGCCGAATAAAGTGGCAACAATCTTGTGTTACAATCCTGACTTATTATTTACTGGCTACTTTTCTAACGGCAGGGTATATTGCGAAATATAACTTCAATGATGCTAAGATATTTGTAAAACACCAGACCGCAGGTGTCTGCGATGGGGAAGTAACGCGCTATTGTCCTTTCCGGGGAGTAACGCGTTCAACACCACATCATGCGGACCCGCTGACGGGTGATTGCTAATGGAAAAAGATCGATAAAACTAGTTGAGAGACATGCAAGACGAAGGACCCGGATGGTGTAGTGGTGAAGTGCGCCGCTCCCCAGTAAGGATAACAGCGCGTGTTCGTTCCCCACTGCATACACCTG